CAGCCACAGTCAAATATTGCTGCTAAAACTTGTGCAGGTCAGTTTTTACAACAGCATATCAGGTCGACTAAAAAAATGAGGAAGTGTTGAAAGTCCAGAAAAATGACAAAAGTAGCTTCATTCAAGAATAATTCAGATTTTAGCAGTTTTCTTTTATTATTAGCTTTTATCATTTCTGTTGATTTCCCTTCTAAAAGACGGTATTTGCTCAAATCAAGAAAAGTTTACACATAAACAGATCCAGAAGTATCAAACAGAGCGTATGCATGACTCCAGGTGTGTTTCCACTATCCAGTCAATGTTAAATTAAGCACAAATAAGGGTATACTAGACCTACATGCCTTCATTTAATTTGGCAAATATTCTTTCCACCTTATTTTCATTTGAATGATCAAAATGCATCAGTTTACATTAGAAGGAGGATGAACTTCACAGAACTAGAGTCCAGATGACGTAGAGGTATCCAAATGTATTTTGTTGTCCGTGACTTTAAATGGTGTGCTTCTTTTTAGGACTCAGGCAGTGGTGGCACCAGGGGGGGCACTAGGGGGCGCTATAGCTATCCCTGGATTTGTCACTGCACCCCCATAGCACCCCCAAGTAAATGTTAGATTTTTTTTTTTTACAATTTAATTTTAATTTAATGTGTGGATGTGATAATATTTAACATACAAAACAAAAGTAATCAGTAAAGTATCATATAGATAGTAAAAACTTAAACCAAAACAGGAAATTGATGTTAACCTTTGACCTCATCTTCCACCTGCGAACGAGTGAAAGGTAGAGCTAGTGGTAAAATGGATCGGGTTTTGTTGCCCAAATTTCCACGGGTTCAGTCAGAAACGAATGAATCTTTGGAAGTGATCTCAGACTCACAGAAACCTACGGATCTGGATGAAGAGAGTCAACCCTCAACGGCCGCAGCAGTCGAGGGTTTTGCCGCTAGAAATGCTAACACTAACGTTAGCAAACCTTGCAACACTATAGATGGTTTTCTGTGTGGCTGTATGTGTTTATGATTTCATGGAAAAGTCAGCGATTGTTCATATGTTTATGATGTATATTAATGACTGTTTCAGGTGTTGTTGAGGTTTTGTGCAGGCATGTGTATCTGCTAGTGTTGAAGGTGTTTTAGAGAACAATATGTATTCATGACCACTTCCTTCATTGCACCCTCATTAAAAAGACTAGCTCCTTCATAGCACCTGCAGAAAAAAATTTCTGGAGCCGCCACTGGACTCAGGTAGTGTGTCCTAAAGTTGAAGCGGTAGCAGCCAGCTGTTTCTCTTTCTCTGGTATTATTGAGCAGAGAACCTCTCACACCAGTGGTGTTCTGTTGATAAACATGTGAGTGTGTAATGAATGGAGGACCCAGGGAAGTGCGGTGTTTCAACAAGATCGACAACCAGATGGTCCAATAGTTGCTTTGGTCCAAAACATGTCATTGGTGGAGGTTTTTAGACAAATGCGAGGGAACCACTTTCTTAAATGTTTTTAATTGTTTTAATCTCTAAAATATATTTATAGCTCTACTATGTTAGAACGTTGTTAAGAGGCGTGAAAAAATATCTTAAGCTCATTGCAGCTCTAAACTGTTCCAGCTGGTCTGTCATTAATCTGCTGTTCACTAGAAAGACTGAGTGATGTAGAACCAGAGCACCTCAACACAACGGTGGTCTACCAGCTTCCTCTGAAACGTTCCTATTGTTAGAAACCCTAGTGAGTTCAGCAGCTGGATAACAAAGGCAGCTCATGTCACAATTAGACCAGCCATAAAAGAAAAGTTCCATCAGTCATGTTGGGTTGCACATCCATTCAGAATGTGAAAAGTCCACTATTTCCTGCCTTAGCTGCTCGAGTTATTTGTGGAGATGAAACATCAGCGTTACAGAGTAAATGGAGTCAGTGGTAGCGTCGCATTGCTGTTAGCCAATCAGCGGCGAGTTGTGAAGCAGTTCCACAGGACTGCCTCATGTCACACTGAGGACCCTAGAGAGAAAGCACACTGCGCAATGTGCCAAGATGCCGTACGAAAGTGCACGACATCTTGCTCCAGCAGGACATGCTAACATCTCGAGCACACTCGCCGAAAAGCATTTGTCCCTAAAAGAGGACAGATACCCAAGATATACTAATGTGGGATATCTTTTGTGTGCTACTGCTGCTATCCTCTGTCCTTGAGTGGTTGCAATAATGCAATTTCCCGAGTACAAGCTCCACTGGTCCCTCTGACCACCACCAGCAAGCAAGGTGGGCTTGCTCAAGGACACACCATTAGAATTATTTGACTGGAGCCGGGATCGAACCTGCAACCTTCTGATTACCGGACAACCTGCTCAACCTCTTGAGTTACTGCTGCCCCTTAAAAAAATTAATAATCATACCTTCATCTAATTGCCTAACACTTTACCTCATTTTTTGCTCCCAACATACAATCATTTTGTTTAGTGCATCTGCACGAGTGGTTTAAGGCACTAGCTACAAAAACCCTACAAAGGAGCAGCTGTAGCTCAGTTTAAAGAGCCGTCGTCTGTTAATGGAAAGTTGGCAGTCTGATCCCAGCTTCCCCATCATATGATTAAGAGAAACTGTAACAAGACTGAACCCCCGTGCATTACTCACCCTGTCTCTCTTTTATTATTATGTTTCATTTTTTTTTACTTTTTTGCCTCATGGCTGACCCTTTGTGCATTTATGACTTATGTGTAATAAAAAAACACTTCTTTGGTCTCATAATCAGCATTATTAAATATGACTGTAGACTGGACCGGGTAGCGTTAGGAGGCGGAGCAGCACAAATGATGCAGAGAGAGGAGTCTTAGATGGAGAAGTTTCCCATCTTTATTTACACCAGTGCTCACATGCTTGCAGAGCTCTGACCAGCAACAACAGTACAGATGTTCAATGGCATCTTTTATACTGTGGAACTCATCAGTACTCTGGACTGAACCATGTGATAGTGCATCTGTAATAATTACACTCCCTTCCAAAAAATCCAATCCTAAATAATTACACTCTCTTCTACATAATCACATCCTAAAAACCCATACGAAGCCATCACAACGATACAAATATCTACAATTAACATTTTAACACCATAAACATCCAAAATGCAATTCCCAAATACCCCTTCCACTCTGCCTCGGGGGTGGGGGGTGGGGGTGTTAGAACCCTAGAAAGCATTATATAAATACAGGTTATTCACCATTTCTTTGGAAGAAAAGTTCATTTTTGTCATTTAGTGATGTGTTGCTCTGTTAAGCAAGCATGCCTTTGTGCTGCTTGTTAGCTAGTTGTTGATTTTAGTGTGGAATCATGGTGTTGGATTTAGAATAGAATAGAATAGAATAGAATAGAATAGAATAGAATAGACTTAATTGATCCCACAGTGGGGAAATCCACTTGTTACAGCAGCACAGACACTTAAGAGAATAATTAGAAGAAAAATTATAAAGGTACATGTATATACACATAAGCAGTAGTCTGTATATATTGCATTATTATACATATCTATACTTATTTAAATTCATTAGGTACCCTGATGTTATTTTAGGTTGCATACATCAGGAGCTTTTCTCTGTTGCAGATTTGTATGGTTTTTATGTTCAGAGTTAGTCTTGTGGGATAAACTCATGTCTTGAACAGCGGATCCTTTAAAGTGCCACGTGAACTGGTTGCTGCAACTAATTTGGGCGAAGTACAGGAGGGTAAGTTGATGCAGGGTACCACTTTAGAGAATTACTTTGCATGTCTCAGAAAGTGGAAACGAAAGCTTAGGCAGCTGGTTCTTTCCAGCTTAAAGAGTGCTTGTCCAGGTGAAAACTGAGGAACACGTTACAGACATGTTTTAACTCTAGTTAACATCGATGCAACCAATGAGTTCTTGCCATGTATTTAAACCAGGACCACTTTACTTCCTCTGTCAAATAGCAAAGGTGCCAGTTTTGGTGGTATATAGTAGAATAAACCCTCATATAGGGTTACTGGACCAATATTAAAACACCATTCCAAACTTGTAGCTCTCATGGGTTCATGTCAGCTTGCTTCTGAGATTGGTGTGTGGTTTAGTAACCCCTGGACAACCTAAAGAAAAGCCCTAAAAACAAACCCGATTTAACATGAGGAGTCGAGGTTTTAATTGAGGATTTTGGATATCCCATTTGTTGTGAGACTTGCTCTCTTTCTGAAAAAAGCTGAAATTGTTCTGTCAGATAAATTTATGGTTGCTCATTTAAAATCGGAGTCAGAGGTAATCGGGTTGTCTGTAGAGAAATCTGAGGATGCTGCAGCTCCAGGTTCCCAACATGGGAACAAGTTAGCTTTAAAGTTGAAGAGCTACTTATGTGTTTACAAGTCAGAATCACACCTTTGCATTCCGGAGTGTATCTTTTCATTTATGTTTCAGAGCATCTTTACAAACTGTGTCCTTGGTCTTATATGTCTGTGGCTGAAGATTGGACTCATGCTTTAGGGTGTTTCACAGTCAACATTATTAAAACATGCTTTTTATTCTCTCTGTGTCAGACAATGTACTTTATTTTTTTGTCAACATTATTATTTACCATAACAGTACATTTTTCTTATTGAGCTGCTCATTTTCCTTTTGACCAGTGCTCCAGATACCACTGCAGTACATTAAATAATGGGGTGTGTGTGATGGCTCACCTGTGGTGTGTAAATTACATACCCACCAGTCTCTTGACACTGAATGTGTGTAGATACTGATATTTCTTGAATGAAACCGAGGCAGAACTCAGTGTAGCATGCTTTATTTATAGGCAGTCATATTAGTTTAGAAATGTAATGCCTGATTTGAATAAAATTACTTTAAAAGCAAATATTTCTTTGTCCTGACGTGTTTAGAACATTTATTGGACAAGGAGAAAGAATAAGTCTGCACAGTGTTGCTGGAGATTGTTGAAACAACAGAAAATCAGACACACATGTAGAAAAGTTCTAATGTCTGAAGTTGTTTTGACAGAAACGACTCTGTCTTTCAGATGTGGATGAATGTGAGAATGACTACAACGGAGGCTGTGTTCACGAGTGCATCAACATTCCGGGGAACTATAGGTGTACCTGCTATGATGGATTCATGCTGGCCCACGACGGACACAACTGTTTAGGTATGAATGGCCCTTGTCGAAATGTGGTCTTTGTGTTTATGTAATATAGGTTGATGTGATTTTTTTAATCTTAAAATGGATAGTACATATCAGAAATTCAGTGCAATGAATTATGTCACTGAAAACATCAAGCAGCTGTCTGAAGATGGTGCAAATGTTATTTGAGTCTGTGGTGGCCAGTGTGCAGAAGACCAAGGGTGGTGGACACCAACTAGACAAATAAACGGACTCACTGGTGTCTGAGTTCAAATAAGCCGTCAGCACGAGGGGGTGTGTATTGACAAGAATCTGGCAATATAATATAAATCACAATACCGGGGAGATGATGTGATATATTATGACACTAAAAACCCGATAGTATTTGCAATTTTAGGACTGAAATTAATTGGAAAACTCAGGCCAGATGCTTCCTAAACACATCCAGTTTTAGCACAAGATCTCGTTGTTCAGTCAGATTAAAGAGACAATGTGAAGTTTTTATCATTAATCTCTGGAAATATCCATCTAAATGTTATTGAAAATGAAATAAATGATGCCCAGTGTTGCAAAAATATTGGCGACTTTGTAACACAAGCATAAAAATCGGGTCCAAAATACATGAGACTGAGTCCAAGTCTCTGGGTGACACCATATTAGACGCCATGTTTCCTTCTATGGCAGCTTGTGAGGACAAAACACATTTATGGATTTGTAACAAACGGCTACACAACTTTCACCTTTCATAAACATTGTCGTTTTACACATTTACCTCTTCACTTGTTGCCAGTGATGAAAGGGAGGGTGATGTACTTGTCATTTTGCTGGAGGTTGCACTCTCAGGGATCTTTGACCCTACTGGTCATTTGTTGTCTTACTTGAAAACAAAAATACCGCTTGCTTTCAATGATTTAAGTATGTACTGCCTCCAATTGCCAGGGAACATACAGACTATCACAGGCGGTAAAAACTGCTGCCACCTAGCAATGGGAGTTTGAATAGCACCACACAAAGAAATACAGTAAATGCTGGGATGTAAAAATCAATGAAAAACCTAGACTGGCTTTAAATGTCAGTTCAGAATCATAACATTAATTTCCGAGAACCGAGGGGAGAGCAAATGCACCATTAGCTGATAGCAACAGAAGTCCAAATATCAAGCTAACGTTACCTAAAAGCAGAGTAAGATGATGATAGCTCACTTAGAGCTATTGTCAATGTTATCATCATCACCCAGTCACCCATTGCATTTAGTGAAGTGGACCCAAACTTTAGAGCGCGTTCTTTCTACCATGCTGCTTGCTCTGTTTACAGCTGGCCTGCAGTGACCGACGACATGACACTCTTGCGCATGCGCTGTCTTTCTTGGGAAATCAGGTACTGAACTCTATGGTACCAAAACAAGGCACCATTTCATATCATGTGAATCGGTCCTTGGTCGGTACCACAGCAGATGAAGCACCAATCAATTGGTTTAGGTCTCAAATATGTTGCTGCTAAAGGTGGTTATACAAGTTTTGAAATAATGAGCTAGCTTTAGTTATTATAGTTACTTATGTAGAGTTTTTTCCTTGTTTTTGTTTAAAGGAATACTTTGCAATTTTTTCAAATTTTAAATCATTTTCTTGAGTCAGTATGTGCTAAAATGACCCTTTACAGGGTAATGAAAGCCCACCCAGCCCCTATTACCCCCTGTGGCCAGAATATCTTACTTGCAACTTCAGACTGTTGGAACTTAAAACAATTTTGAAAAAATTGAGCTGACATACCTGGAGCTGCAGTCTAGTTCCAGCACGTTTTCTGCATATTTTAGATCATGAACACAGCTGATTTGTTTGATTTAGTGATAAAGTACTCCTGTAGACACTAAGGAAGACTGGGGAGACATTTCAGCTGTTAGATTAAGATGTTGTGACAAACGCACAACAAGGAGATGGGTTTTGCTATTGGTTCTACAAATGGACACTAGGGGGTGCTAAAAGCAAGCCAAAACAGCCTAGTTCCCATTTAATAAATGATGTCACTGTGAAACGTGTTTTTGTACACGTGAGGTTAGATCGTTAAATTGTTCTTTATGTGATGTGGTTTAAAGATGAAAGAAGCGATGACGTTTGAAGGAGTTGCCACATGTTTGAATGATAACTATTTATGGCCCGGTGAGAGGAAGCCAGCTGTGTCTGTTTGTAACCTCAAGGCAGTTTTTATTAGATGTTGACTGGATGCAGCTTTAATGAAGTGCTGCTAATTAAATCAGAGTTCAAACAATGCAGTAAGGTGTAAAGTTTCTGTGAGGACAAAGCCAACACAAACACTGATTCATTTTGTTTCATTTATTCTCAATATATGTTCATGGACTCTTTGTTTTTACTAATTGTTCTTGTTTGTTTTTAGTTTACATAATGTCCTCCATCCTTTCTCTTTAGTTTGAATCATACTCTTATGGATTTGGGACACTTATGAAGACAGTAGTGTTTGTTTTTTGGATAGAGAAAAGATATCACTGGACTACACGAATGAGGAGTAAGGTGTCTTATAAAAGAAAAAAAAACTGCTTTAAACAGAAGAGGTTTCAACTCCCAAAAACCATGATTACAACATTGAATCTGATCCCCAAAATGTTTAACAGAAATCCAAGCCTTCCAATCAGGGATGCACTGATGTGAAAATGTAGGCAGTTCTCTTTCTTAACATTCGTTTCGATGTCTCACTATGGGATACGCCCCTCAGCAGATTCCTCAGAAGCACTTATCTTAATATGCCAATCCTGATTGGCCAGTGACCATGATGTACTGCTACTATAAGTAGCAAGCGTCCCAACGCACGCGTCATTCAATCACCTCTTCTCACTTCGGTGGTTGCTTATCTCTCAGGTAAGTTAGCTCAACTGTTCACAGACAGAGCCAGCTAATATTTTCTCTCCGTTGCTGAAAGCCAACTTACTGTCCTTCTGTCCTGACCTTCACCATAGGTTCAGGGCACAGCGACCAGTTTCACACTCCAGTGCACCTCTTCGTTCTCTGACTAACACACCAGTTAGTCCACATGGAAGCTGCTCCTCCCACCAGAGGAGTTGACGGCACAGGAGCTCTCCCCTGTACCTGAGAGAACAAAATCTCGAGCAAAGAACCACACAGGGTCTGCTCGGGCTGGAACACACCCAGCTAGCATTAGAAGTTCCCGGGTCATGTGAGAGCTGTGCTTGCTTCACCCTGAAGAGCCTTCGCCGGCGGTTAGTGCACCAAGTTAGCCTGTTGCGGAAGGACCCATGCCTGCCGGCCCCTGGGCCACCGCCTGGGGACGCTGACGAACATGCCCTCCCGGAGCCGGAACCATGTGCCGAGCCCAGCTGGGACTCCCAGCTCGAATTGGCCGTTCCGAGCCACCCTGTCGAGGATGTGTTGGAGTTGGCCTACGGAGATGACGAGGACACCTCGGAACTCCTCATTTCAGAGGAGGACGAGGATGACGACGTTTTTCTCCCCCTTGCTCAGGCTTCCATGACTAGCTTTCCATCCTCTTCCAGGGATGGAGCGGTGTCTCTGGCCGCCCACCTGGACATGCAGTCAGTCTGCCGACGCGCTGCGACCAGGCTCAACATCCCCTGGCCCACCGTGGTCACTGAAGCTGTCAGATCCCGCTATGAGGGAAAGAAGCTGCCTCAGGCCACAAGGGCCTCTCCTGCCCACTGAACCTGGAGCTCCTCGAAGACGTTAGGTCATCCTGGGACAAGCACCCTTTCAGCTCCAGGTCTCCTGTCCAAGGAGCCTCCTTGCTGGACTTCGAGGGTATGGACAAGGCTGGCATGCTATGCATGCCACAGATTGAACCACTGGTTTATGTAGGTTGCAGCCCACCTGCACCCACGGCTCTCGGCAACTTCCTCCAGGCCTCCCGCTCTCCCTGCAAAGGCGGACCGCTTCCAGTCGGCGCTGAACGAGAGGGCGTACAAGGCTGCCACCCTCTTGGTTTGAGCATTTGAATGTCTCCTCCATGCGTTCAGCGTACAAAGCCGAGCTCTGTGAAGACATGAATATGAAACCGGACCCGGAGGTGTGGGAGGAAATCACCGTGCGGACCGACATCTGCCTGCAGGTGCAGCGCTGCTCGGTCCAGGCCATGGGTAAAGCCACAAGCATGATGGTGCTTCAGGAATGTGCACGATGGCTGAACCTCACCAACCTCTCTGATAGAGAGGAGTACATTTTGGACATGCCAATTGTGCCTGAAGGCATTTTTGGCTCTGCACTGGCATCAATGCAACGGTGTGAGGCAAAGGAAAAAGAGGATGAAGCGCTTCAACTCTGCCTTCCTCGAAAGCCTTCACCTGCTCCGCCAGCTCGGCCGACTTTTCCTCAGGCAGCTGCCCGAGCCCCGCATCAGTTCCAGATCCCGAAGCTCCCGAAGCCTCAAGCAGTCCAACCAGCTCCTTCGGGCTCAGCTCCTCAACCAGTTTGGCCACAAAGGTCCGGCGACCAAACCGCTCCACCACCGGGACAACCCACACGGCCCGGCGATCAGCTCCCACTTCAGTACTGCAGTACTCTGCGTTTTGTGTTTAGAAATGGTGAAGGTTCTCAGATGAGAAGTGAAACTTCTTCAAAAAAATAAAGAAGTCTAGCTGCCTTATTTTCTGAAACAAAGAAAAGTATGACTGGGAAAAGCTACTTAAAAAAAACTACATCTAAACTCAACATCATGGCTAAAACAGGCCACCATGTCTCTCTTCTACACTGGAGAACCTGGATCCTCTTTGCTCAACCAGTACTTGAACCTCAACTTTGTTTTACACCAAATTTAGACTGACACCTGCTTCTGACATCATCTGTTTGAAATAACATGAGATCTTTTATCTTTAAATTTCATCATGATCAATTTTCCCAGCAATTTTTGGAATGTGTTCAAGGCCAAACAGGCAGAAAGTTAAAGTCCCATAATCATCATCACACATTGGTGAAATTCATCTCCGCATTTGACCCATCCCCGAGGGAAGCGGTGAGCTGAAGCAGTGGCCGCGCTCGGGAACT